GAAAATCATCAAAATGTTGATCTTGATTTGTACAATGTTGTTATTTTGGGCGTTTGTAAAAGGAGCAAAGTTTCAGAGGCTTTTGGTTCATGCTATTTATTGGTGGAGAAAGGCTTACATCTGGAATTGACATTTCTAGATGAGCGAGTATCTGCTCTAGAGGCTGAAGGAAGATCAGATGAAGATGCATTTATATCTAAGAGGATGCAAAGGCAAGAATTTTTAGGCGGATCGTCACAAAAATAGGGACTCATTCTCACTGCTTCACAGATATGATGCAATAGCAGCAGCCCATTAATCGTCCTGTGCTTCAGACTTTTCAAGATGAAAATTCATCGCCACCTGAATGGAGCATGATATGTAGTAAGTTACCCTTCATTTAACATTTGGATTGAAAATTGTCATAATAGTGAATGGTTTCCTATTCATTCTATTCTAATGTTGTTAAAAATAGTGGAGTCCGAGGCTGCTGATCCTTTTATTTGTTTTGGCAAGAGACGCTAGATTGATTGTATTTCCCAAAGAACTGGATTTTACTGCCATATGATGTTGATATTTAGAAGAAGACAAAGCTTACATGCAATGCTTTGGATAATTTGCGTTTTAGGTTTTTCAATAAAAAAAAAAAAAGATCATGGACGTGTTTTTCTAACTGTACGCTACATCCTTGACTCTCACTTTCATAAATTTATTGAAAATCCTAATTACAAATACCTAAAAAGATGCCTTTATGTTATGTGCTTTGGAAAACCAATACTATAACTTGGTTGATTTAAACGTATCACTATTAAGGAGATCAGTGTAACTCTCATATTTACTATGACTGCTAAATTACGGCAAGTTTAGAAGCAGGGTCTTGCGTTTCTTAGTGTACATGTTTAAATTGATTGATGCGTTGAAGGCAGTTTAGGTCTAACACTAATATTCATCATTATAACCTTCTAAGAGAAGTCAAATGCAAAGAAGCTTTCTTCCTTTGTTTCCGTATGAGGGTTGAAATGTTTATATACCAGTTTTCTTTTCTTTTTTCCTTTTTCTTTTTTTTGGCCAACATGCCAGTAGTTAACACGTAATGGCTCTTCAGTCCCAACAGAGAACGACTTATAATTCCTTTTGAAGTTAATATGCATTGGTCCCTTCTCACCTTTCAATGACCATTATCTGTTGTAATCTATCTCCTAATTGCTACAAGGAAATCAAGGTCAAGTTCACAGTGCAGGTGACCCTGAATCCTCGTTGGATGCTTCAGATCAAGCAGCATTGACAAACCTGAGTGATGTACTCCGAAACCGTCCTGGTTTTGCCATGATCATCTTTCAGAGGATGTATAATGTAAGTTTTTTGAATTAAAAAAACTCTGGCTTTGCATTTCTAGTTTCCCTCTTTTATTTCATTAGTATAATGCCTTGCGTTGAAGTTTGAAGTCAATTTATATCTGCAAAAGATTGATTTGAAGTGTGTCTGATGTGACTCTGGTTCAATACTGAATCAATATTGAATAATGTGGGCAGGCTAGTGGCGGGGGCCTGTAAAAACTTTCAAGAGGTCTTACACCTGAAACTTTGTATGATCATTGTTCAGGAAAGACTAGCTTGCTCACTTTGTTCGCGTGCAAAGAAGGGCACTTGAAGTGCGGGTGGAGAAGAGTTGAGTTGATGGTCTTTTAACTCTGTGAAAGGACGTAAAAGGAAACTAAGAAGAGCACTTAAAGAAATTATAGAATGAGATGTTATGATGAATGAGATATTAAAGTTTATTAGCGTTGTGGTATCCATCCAGTTGACCTAATGGGATAAAGCTGCTTGTTCTTCTAGTTAAATGTTAATGAATTATTTGAAAGTAGTTAAAAGAATGAAGGCATTCGAACTTCAAAAGTACTCCATCTAGCTGTGCTATCCATCTAGTTGGGTTAATACATTTGATACATTCTCTTTCTTTATTTATCCTACTATTTTACCCGTTTATATATAAGATATTTCAAAAAAAATTGCATTTGCTACATATCAATTGCTTTTAACTGTTTTCTTAAACTGCACAATTTAATTAAAAGGATCTTATAATAAGAGATGAAGGGAGTGGAAATAAGTAAGCTGAACATTTTTTTCCCCCTAGTTAAGCTTGAAAGGTCATTCAGGCTAAGTTAACGTTTTTATTCCAATGACGTTAACCAAAGTGGCTTGAATTAATTCACAGAATAAATCAGGCTTGCCTGCATCTATCAGAGAACTATCCGCAAAACATATTCTTTGGATTATAGAACTAGCTTTTTAGTTTTTAATATTACAGAAGGAGGTGAAGAAAAAAACAAGAAGAAACGAAGAAACGATTTGGACTAGGATCATTTGTAAAAATAAGGGGTTAAACAATACTCATGCCAATGTGCCTTGGATGATCCACATCTCAGGATCATAAGCACATTAAACTGTCTATGGAGTGAGAGGCCTCATAGTCTAGGTGCAATGACGTGATTATCAGAGGCATGCCCTACCACTAAGCTAATAACCCGTCATGTGAGCCTCCCGCTGGGGTCCTGCTATGCCTAAAGCAAGAGAAGCCATATCTCTTAATATAAAATCGATTTAACTAATTTGATTATATTAAGTAAGTTAGGTAATTCAGTTAATTATAAGAAATCACATGTTTTTTTCCCTAAAGTACTATAATCATCTTTATTAATATATTTCTTTCCTTTTCTATTTGATTATGGTTGAAGGAGTATCAACATGGATAACTTAAGAAAAATTGTTTGATATAAGAAATAAGTCTTATATGTAAGATCAAGGTCAACTCGATGATTAGATCTTATATTAAGGCCTTTTCTTTTTTCTTTTTAACAAAACTCCTCAATCCGTAACCGAGCAAAACGTGCATTGAGGACTGTAAGTTAACACACACAAAATTTGCAAAACTAATCACCATCTAAAGCCTTTTTCACCGATTCATGCGATGGGGCAAGATTTTGAATAAGAGGGTCATCAAGGAGGAAATATCTTTGAGCTTGCCCTGAAAAGATCTCAAGAGGGATTTCTATAGTACTTTTATAATTTCTTCAAGCGCGTTTGCGTGTCGTATGATAATAGTCAGACTTGACACTTTTGTATAATATGTCTGCAATCAGGCTTTAAGATTCTTTAGATGATCTCAGAATTTTGCAATGTGCCTTCAATAATAGTTATTGAATTTTGGGTTAATATAATTTTTTATCCTTCAAATTTGCTCTTATTTTGATTTTGGTCTCTTAGATTTCAAACCATAACTTTTTATCCTTTAAAGGGGTAAAATATTCCAGATTATTATTGAATTATAATGACCAATATTTTAAACAAGAAGAAACTTAAAAAACCCAAAAAAAACATATGATTTAAATTTTGGGAGGTGCAAATTAAAATAAAGGCAGGTCTAAAGTGAACAAAAATTGTATCAACCCTTAAATTTTTATGAGCTTTTGAGACAGCCTTTGGGTCACACTTTTTTAAAGGAAATTTGTTCACATATTCTTATGCATGCAAGGTGTTTTTCTTTTAAAAAAAAAACACACACACTTTAAAAAAAAATGCTTCAGTTTTTTCGTGAAAAAATGGTTCCCATATAATCATTCGTACACAGGGAAAATAGTATAATAATGATTTTTAATACTGGAAATAAATAAATTAGAATAATTTAATTATTGATAATTTTGAATTTTATTGTCGAACGAATAAAAGCTTTTAATTATAAAAAGTAATATTCATGCATTTGAAATTAAATAAATATTTTTTAATTACTTCAATTGAAATGAAATCTTTTTAAAAAATTAATCTGGTTAATATCATACTGTGTTCTGGTCAAAAAATATCATATTGCGTCATAAACTTTGTTCCTAACAAAAATTTTAAGTATCATCTTACGAAAATTTCAATCGTTCTTTGTTATTCATGTACCATATGAATAATAATTAAATGTTTTGATAATGCGTAGCCATTCCAAACCACATACTTCCAAGAGAATTGAGGGGAGTATATTAATATACCCAACCTAATTCACGCTTAACCTGGAATATAAAAAAAAAATTCTTAATATAAGACATATTTAACTAATTTGATTAGATTAAACAAATTAAATAAATTAATTAATTATAATAAATATAATATGTTTTTTTCTAAAACACCATAATCATTTTCCTTAATATCTTCTCTCTCTATTTTCTACTTGATTATGGTTAGGGGAAATCTATAGGGGTAACTTAGAAATAATTTGATAAGTATGATAAATAAATCTTATATTTAAGATAAAAATTAATTTAACAATTAGATTTTATATTAAAAATTAGAAGAGTGTTTGTATACGCGCGCGTATGTGTGTGTATAATCTAGTAAAGCGAAGGCAAGTTGAAAATCTTACGAGGCGTGGGTGAAACAAGAGTTAAAGTGCGTTTGCGTCCGGGGCATATTATATTCTGTATCTTAAAATATTTTATTATGTATTTAATATTTTAAAATACTTTTTAAGTATATACAATATTTTGAAGTTTTTTTATGTATCTAGTATTTTAAAATATTTTATGTATTTAATGTCCCAAAATATTTTTTGGTACATCTAATATCAAATAAAAAATGTTTTAAAATGTCAGACATACCTAAAAAATATTTTAAGATACCAAATATATTACAAAATATTTTCAAGATGTTAGATATATTTAAGAAAATAGTCTGCGTTGGTGATGCATTTTAACCTCCAAACAATTTCTTTTTTTGTCACAACATGGATTCGAATTATACCTTTTAGATGGTGTCTGAATAAAAATAAAATTATAGTCTTAAAAATATTTTTATGATATATTTAAAATAAATATACAAAAAAGTTTTTAAAAAATAATTTTGGATTTATCCAAACACCATTAATTAATCTGGCAAACGCGGAAACGGGCCAGGCAAATGTCAGATGGATCCCCTCACTACCTTTTTCCTTGACTGGTTGACGTTCTCCTTGGCCTGTCGCCATCTTGGTCCTCGTGCTCCTCAACCCGTCGCCGTCCTTCATCGCTGCTTTGTGATCCTCAGTCCGCCGTCTGTCGCGTAGCTCGGCGAACTCCACCAATTTGCAGAGAGCTCCCTCTTCCAGGTAAGCTCTCCCTTCTTAATAATTTCGATTTTTAAACTGTAAACGTAAGATGTGACTGAACCTCTGATCTGTGATGGAGTATTCTTCAGCTGCATTCACTCATTGCCAGAGGTGAAAATAATGATTAACTCTGGTCTGTTATGTATTACCCCACACAAAATGGGGCTTATATTTATATTCAGTACCGGTATACATTAGCAGATAAATAATATTTTTAATTATATTATATTATTTTAATCCTTGCCGATCTTACCGGAGACTCTCGAACATTCCCCATTGAGAACCTTGCTATATATTAGGCATGCCTATGGCATGACATAGCGTGCTTCGAGTAATCTAATCTTAGTGCATTTTGTATAAGTTGGAATTTCTAAATAAAAAAATACCAACAAAGCCGACTATGATTAGTAACAATATAATATTCCGGGACAAATGACAATATGAGAACTAAAAATCAGGGTAATATAATTTTTGGTTACTAAAATTTGTTCCTATTTCAGTTTGGGTTCATCAAATTGCAAATCGGTGATTTTGGTCTCTAAAATTTAATGTTTTAGAATTTAGAGGTATAACGGTGTTAAATTTGCTAAGGTGTTATAGACGGCATTAAAATGTTGATTTTGACTCACAAAATAGGACCTAATTGAATCTTGTGTAGATAATTTGAGTGGGGGAATAGGCCCTCAAAACATAGCTATTTAACCCCTTTTTTTTTCAGTGTTGATTTGGGAAGCTATTACTGTACTTTAAGAATTCATCCCCAGTCGTCCTCTGCTTTTGAAATTATGATTTGGGGAAAATCCTAACTTTCGTTTTCAAAGTTCTCCCAGACATGCACCATTGATTAGGCATAAAGCTTTAGACTGTAACCTATGGTAACTAATGATTATAAATATATATCGAAGGGTTTATAGCTAAGTGTGGAATGTAATGGGTTTACCTGATGTCACAAGCAGGGTCCAGTCGCTACCTCCTATTTGCATGGAGCTTTCATGTCGGTTATGACTTGCTTGTTGCTTCTATTGTTGACTACTTACAGGGTGATGATAACGATTTCTATTCCATGGAGTATTTGGAGAGCAGCTCCTCATCGTTGAAACCGAGTCATGTATATATCAGCTTTAGAGGTGATGAAGAGACTCGTAAATTCATGCATAGCCTTTTGGCTGCTCTGAAAGCAGAAGGCTTCAGAATCTTTGGAGATGATAAGAAGCTTGAAACGCCGGGCTCCAATCTTCCACCTCACCTTCTTCAAGCAATTCGTGAGTCGTGGATTTGGATTGTTGTCTTCTCCAAGAACTATGCTTCTTCATGTTGGTGTTTAAAGGAACTGTCACAGGTTTTGCGCATCATTCTTTCTCAGGATGAATCTCAATTGTCTTGTGCGGACTCATCATCATCAGTTTTTGCGCATCCATTGTACGCTGTCGATGCTGAACGACAAGAAATGTGCGAAGCAGACATAGACAAGGTGAACAGATGGAGGCAAGCTCTGAAACGAGGGTTCCGTGTCTCTGGGCGCTGGAGTGCATCAGATAGGGTTATAGCAGTTTTTTACGATGTGGATCCAAAATCCTTTCCTCAACATATTCAACAAGCATGCACACAAGATTCATTTGAGATAACCCAATGGGAAGATATCGAACAAGTGGCCAGTTCCCCTGGCTGGCAAGTGCGGAATGAGTACGTAATTTTACTCTCTCTCTCTCTCTATATATATATATCTACACACACTCTTATATACTCCTCTGATCCTTAATATAAGACCTATTTAACCAATTTAATTAGATTAAAAAATTTAGGTAAGTTAGTTAATTATAAAAAAAAATATGACATATTTTTCCTAAAATACCATAATATCCTCCCTCTCTCTTCTATTTGATTATGGTTGAGAGAGTATTTATAGGGATAATTTAGGAAAAATTGATAAATATGAGAAATAGGTTTTATATTTAGGATTAAAATCAACTTAACAATTAGGTCATATATTAAGGATAGGAGGAGAGTATATATATATATATACACATATATCAGAAACAACAAACTGTTTTACTAGCAGACCTCAACTCCAGATGCAATATGGATATTATATAATTTGTGTATATATATCTACTTTAAAAATTTTAGATGTCACTTCTAAGTTGTCTTGATAAAAGCCACACACCAATTATAGCAGAGGATCTTTAAGAGGAAACAAATTTGATTGATTGGGCGTTCCACTTTCTCTTTTTCAGCTCAGGGTTACAGGTTATTCCAAAAACTGTTAAAGAAGTCAAGTCTAAAATAGATAAACTATTTTATGACTTCTTCGGATTTGTTGGGATGCAATCTCAAGTGGAAGAAGTAGAAAAGCTTTTGGATTTGAATGCAGATGATGAAGTTCGAGTTGTTGGCATTTGTGGTATGAGTGGATTGGGGAAATCTTCTATTGCTACTGTTTTATATCTTAAGACCTTTCACCTTTTTGATGCCTTTTGTTTCCTTCCCAATCTGAGTGGACGTTTAAAGCATGGTGACATAACCCTACAAGAACTTCTGCATAGACATTTGAGGACAGAAAATTCAGAGATGAAGGATTTTCTAGACAAAGAGTTCTTACTAGGGGAAAGGCTAAGAAAGCACAAGTTTCTTATAGTTCTTGATGGTGTTGATCTTGTACAACATCTACAGGAGTTGAACTTAGTTGAAAAATCCAATTGTTTTGGCGGGGACAGTAGAATCATTATAACAACTAGAGATGAACAAGTCCTTCAAAAATATGAGGTTAATACCATTTATAGACCTAAACTCTTGTCCAGGGACGAAGGTTTCAAACTATTTTGTTCTAAAGCTTTTCTAGGGGGATATCCGATTGATGATTTCGAAGGGATGATATATAGGGTGTTGGAATATGCTAATGGCCTTCCATTAGCAATTGAAATATTGGGTTCATCCTTTTTTGGAAAAGGCGTTGCAGAATGGAGAAGTTTCCTGGATAGGGAAGAAATTATTCCTCCCTATGAGATCACAAGGGTGCTTAGAAAAAGTTTTGACGAACTCGATGACATGAGTAAGGAAATGTTTTTGGACATAGCATGCTTCTTTGTTGGGAAGGACATTAACTGTGTGAAGGAAATTTTACATGATTGCATCGATTGCTCTGTTGATGTAGAAATTCTTTTTCAGAAGTCGGTCATCACAATTGCAAATGAGAGGATACAAATGCATAGTATGCTGCAAGCAATGGGGCGAGATATTATTCGACAGCAATATCCGTATCAACAAAGCCGATTATACCTTTATAGTGACATTAAATCTGTTATGGAGAAGAAAAGAAACATGGTAAGTTTTGATACCCCTTTTTAGCACATTACATTATGAAAAGTTAAAATAATAATCTAACATTTTATTATTTCTATGTACAAATGCGTTTATACTCCCAGGTGATGGAAAATGTTGAAGCTCAGCCAGATGATAGTGAATCTGATATGGGGAGAGAGAGAGAGACATGGGCAAGTTTTGATAGCCCTTTTTGGCACATGACAACATGAAAGGTTAAAACAATAATCTAACATTTCATTATTTCTGTGCACAAATGCGTTTATACTCCCAGGTGATGGAAAATGATGAAGCTCAGCCAGATGACAGCGAATCTGACATTGAGAGAGAGAGATACACATGGGCAAGTTTTGATAGCTCTTTTTAGCACATGACAACATGAAAAGTTAAAACAATAATCTAACATTTCATTATTTCTGTGCACAAATGCGTTTATACTCCCAGCTGATGGAAAATGTTGAAGCTCAGCCAGATGACAGTGAATCTGATATTGAGAGAGAGAGATACACATGGGCAAGTTTTGATAGCCCTTTTTAGCACATGACAACATGAAAAGTTAAAATAATAATCTAACATTTCATTATTTCTGTGTACAGATGCGTTTATACTCCCAGGGGATGGAAAATGTTGAAGCTCAGCCAGATGACAGCGAATCTGATATTGAGACAGAGAGACACGCATGGGCAAGTTTTGATAGCCCTTTTTAGCACATGACAACATGAAAAGTTAAAATAATAATCTAACATTTCAGTATTTCTGTGTACAGATGCGTTTATACTCCCTGGGGATGGAAAATGTTGAAGCTCAGCCAGATGACAAGGAATCTGATATTGAGAGAGAGAGACACGCATGGGCAAGTTTTGATAGCCCTTCTTAGCACGTGACAAAATGAAAAGTTAAAATAATAATCTAACATTTCATCATTTCTGTGTACAAATGCGTTTATACTCCCAGGTGATGGAAAAAGTTGAAGCTCAGCCAGATGACAGCGAATCTGATATTGAGAGAGAGAGATACCCGTGGGCAAGTTTTGATAGCCCTTTTAGCACATGACAATATGAAAAGTTAAAATAATAATCTAACGTTTCATTATTTCTGTGTACAAATGCGTTTATACTCCCAGGTGACGGAAAATGTTGAAGCTTGGTCAAATGACAGCGAATCTGATATTAAGAGAGAGAGATACGAACGGGCAAGTTTTGATAGCCTTTTTTAGCACATGACAATATGAAAAGTTAAAATGATAATCTAACATTTCATTATTTCTGTGTACAAATGCATTTATACTCCCAGGTGATGAAAGTTGAGGCTCTGCCAGTTCACGTCAACGCTGTTTTTGAGAGATATAGATACACATGGGTAGGTTTTGATAACCCTTTTTAGCACTCCATTACAAAATGAGAAGTTACAGTAATAATCTGACATTTCAGCATCTCTATATACAAATGCATTTATAATCCCAGATGGTGGAAAAAGTTGAAGCTATAGCCTTGGATTTGGAAGAGCCAAAAATGGCCTCATTGAGGGTTGATGCTTTATCAGATATGATCAACCTCAGATTGCTGATATTCCATAACGTGGAATTTTCTGGAACCCTTAGTAATCTTTCAAGCAAGTTGCGATATGTTTCGTGGCATCAATATCCTTTCACTTCTTTGCCATCGGGTTTTCAATCTGACACACTTGTTCAACTGATTATGGCTGAAAGCAACATGACAGAAGTGTGGAAGGGCAGAATGGTATGTTCATGTTCTTCTTTTAGTTTTTAAATATTTAAATGACTAGAAATTATTCAATCAAACTCCTAAACAAATATAGATACCTTTTACCTGTTGTTAAATATCCCCCAAGTGTCTTGTTTTAATACAAAAAGTACTATATATTCTCTATTCACAGATGCTCCCTACTTTGAGAAAACTGAATCTAAGTGGCTCCAAAGCTTTGACAAAGACGCCAGATTTTGGTGGGGTTCCAAATCTTGAGAAGCTAGAGCTCGAAGGATGTACTGGATTGTTGCAACTTGATCCATCTGTTGCTCAACTTCCAAAGCTCAGATTCTTGAACTTGAAAGGTTGCATCAATCTTGTCAGTATCCCTAATTCCATGTTTTGTCTGAACTCGTTGGAAGTCCTAAATCTAGCTGGCTGCTCTAAACTTGCATGTTGCTTGAAGTTTTCTCCAATGAGGAGTTTGATACAAGTGAAACTGCTTAGCATCTGGGACAGTCCATTCTTGGAAAAAATTTTGTACTTTCTTCTGTTGGTTTTGCCAGAACAAAAGAGATATCATGACTTCGTTTCTTCTTGTCTTATTTACTTGATGTGTATTTGTGAGGTCAAATATGTATAAGCTCCAGTCATGAGAGTCTGTACGAGTGTATTTGGTTAGTATGGGAATAATATAGTGCTACTTAGATACATTTCTGGTATCATAGCAGATTAGTTCTTAATGAACAATTATTTAAAGAAAAAGTTATATATTTATCAAAACATATAAAATCATGAAATTGTAAAACCTTGCACTAAATAAATATTTCTCCTACGAGTCTTAAACAAGTGTACATCAACCACTCACGCTGGCTATAAAATCTAGCAGCAAAATAATAATCTGACGAGGAATAATATAAATAAATCTTAAACTTGACATTACTTTGACTCCAATTATATTTTTCAGTCTGGCAAACGAGGAAACAACATGGGTTTGCCTCTTATTACTTGTTTTGTTTTTAATGTAAGACTTAATTTGAAAGTTGGTATTGGTATTATATACTCTTCCGGTCCTAAATATAAGACACGTGTATAAGAGTCTTATATTTAGAACCGGAGAAGTATAACATCTATTTTACATGCTTATGAATTTTTTTCACATTAATTCTATTAATATTCTCTCAATAACAATAGAGCGAAGGAAGAAACTAAAAAAGATAATTAGAATTTTTTTTTAAAATATCATATTAACAAATTTAAATGACATTCTTACTCTTCTCATACGTCCTACCTTGTATCCTCTGATTCGCAATTCCTTCACTGACTGCTTTACTTCTGTCCTCACCCTCACCCCATTTGCGTCTCCCTGAACCCCCAAACCCACCCTGTCACTATCGTGATCCTCGTGCTCCTTATCCGTTTTTTGATCCTCGTGCTTCGCAGTCTGCTGCCTATCGTGTAGCTCGGGTAATTAACTCTGTCAATTTGCAGAGAATCAGAGACTTCAGAGTTCAATCTTCAATTTCCCTCTTTGTGTGGCTTCTCCCAGGTAGGCTCTCCCTTCTTAATAATTTCGATATATGAACTTTAAATATAAGATCGGAGTGAACCTCTGCTCTGTGATAGAGTATTCTTCAACTGCATTCACTGATAGCCAAAAGTAAAAAGAACCGGTCGTGCGTAGGTGGGGTAAAAATAATGATCAACTCTGGTTTGTTGTGTATTTTACATTAGCTGCTATGTAATATATTAAATTAATTTGTTTTTGGGATAGTTTTGGATATTTTTAATTGAATTATATTATTTTAATCACAATCCATCAAACCATCGATCAAACCGGTTAATTAAGTCTTGAACCATCCCAATTTTCAGAACCTTGTTAAATATTATGCATGCTTATTGCATATAACATGGTGGGTACCTAAGCCTGAATTCTGATGGATTGGGACGGAAGATTGAAACTGGGATTGAGACTTTAAAATTATATTTGGTATGAAGTCATATTTGGAGGGAATGATTTTGTTAAATTTATTTTTCAGTTTGTCATGAAGTGTGAAATTGACCAAAAAAAATACCCTTACCCTCATCTAAATTTGGGTTGCGTACGAGGGGGGGAAAGGCCAGGTAGTGTAACTTTGGACGAACTGAAGTGGGTGAAAATTTTGAAGTAATTTGCCGAAAGGGACTGAAGCAGCAAGTTTGATGGCCTTCGTTTTGCAGTCTCGTAGCCGTTCATCAGTAGTATTCGCAAAGCATTACCTCGTCGCCGTCTTCGATGCTGCTAAATGCTGTAAACAGTAAAAATAATTAATCAAATGCTATATTTTGTGAACTATTTACTCATATGCTGCATTTTTTTTAAACTTGTTCATCCCATGATGAGCTTTCACTCTGACTATCTGTCTTTTAAAATAAAAGGTGGAAAATGCCAACGAGTTCAAACTCTTTGCATTTTTATTTTTGGCAAAAATTACAGCTAAGTATCCCATTTCTTCATCTTCTGTCCCGTGTCCATGACTTTTGAATTTTGGAGGAATTATTATAATTGATATCCCGTCCCTTCATATCTTCTACTACTTCATTCTTCTTTTATTCTACTTTTTCTTCTAGATAGTTTAAATATAAGTAGATTTATGCGGAAAAATGACTTTTTATCTTGATACTTAAATTTAGAAGAAAATATATAAATAAATTAAATAATATTAAATATTTATGAGTTTTTTTAATGTATCCATATCCACACATATTAATCATAAAATATATACTTATTAATTTCTATATTTATGCTAATTATTCAGCAATATTTAAATCAAGAGTATTATTGAAAAAAAAAAGTTTAATAGCTTCATAAATTTATGAAATAGTTTTTAAATAAAAATATTGAAAACTTTATGTATACAAAATCACTTAAATTAATTTAATAAACAAATACTGAAAACTAATCAATTTATTAAGTGATATTTCTTAATTATTATTTTAATCACATAAAAGTAAAAGTTACTATAAAAGATTGAGCCTTCTTTCATAGTGAGAGCTTCATGTCACCTCAAACAATAAAAGGAAAAAAAAAAAGGGAAATAGATAAGGATGGGTATTGAAGAAAAATAAGAAAATTAATATCTTTGGGATAATAAAGATAAAAATTGATAAGTGTATATTTTATAATTAAATATGTGTTGATTTAGATATATTATAGAAGATTGGTAAATATTTTATATTTATTTAATTTAGTTACATATTTTCTCCTAAATTTAAGTATTAAGATAAAAAGTAATTTTTCTACAAAAATCTACTTTGTTATGAAATTAACTAACAATGAAACTAGATTGGAGAAGAGAAGTAAACAAGAAAATAAGAAAATGATATTGTATTCCTTCATTTGCTTCACTTGCCTCATAATACAATGGCATGCCTTATTTATAGGCATAGTCTTACACATAAGTTACATTGGTACTTAAATGATAGATAGTGGACAATAAACCACATGAATATGAGTAGGGGGAGTTACAAGATTAAAGGCATAATGGAAAGATAATGGAGTAGTGGAAGATTAATGCCCAATGGAAAATTATGCCTAGTGGAAGTAGTGGGAGTTTGATGATGAAGTTGAGAGGAAGAGGAAGAGGAAGAGGAAGAAAAGGAGATGGACATCCACATGTTATAATATTCATAACACTCCCCTTTGGATATCCATTATATAAGATATGTGCCTCATTAAAAAATTTCAACTAAGAAAAACCCTATGGGACAAAAGCCTAGTAGAAGAAAAAGAGTACACATTCATTGATATACTATTTGGTGCTGCCTCATTAAAAACCTTGTTAGGAAAACCCAGTGGGAAAAAACCATAGACAAGGAACAAAAAGTACAGCATGTATTAACTCCCCCTCTTGATAACATCAATTGATATCCCTGAGTCTGTGACATCCGATATCATGAATAAACTTTTCAAATATTGTAATAGGAAGTGACTTGGTGAACAAATCTGTTAGATTTTTATTTGAACAGATTTGCTAGATATATATTTTACTATCTTTTGAATATTATGAAATACTTTATCTGGAATTACCAACATGTGGATCAAAAAGGAATTCACAACCTCTATTTTAGTGTCTTTGTATTGGTGAAGAACTATATATTACTAGTAAGTTAACAACAAATGATATATCAAGTCATATGTAACTAGCAAGATATATAAATGCATCAACTGTACTAACATATGGTACTTCTGGACTAAATAGTTATTCATCACATTCTCAAAATCTAAAAAATTCTTTATTTACCTCTACAAATCTCACAACTATCAAAGTATATAATGGATGTGATTTATCCATATAAAAACACTTTAAGATCTTTCTTATATCAATTATTTGATACACAAAAATCTTTATTTCTAATGCATTCAATTTGCAATCCGAGATAAAACTTTGTTCTTTCTAAATCTTTCATTTCAAATTCTTTCTTGTAAACAATATATAACTTTTATGAGCTCTTCAGGAGTTCTGATGATATTTATGTCATCAATACAAACTAAAATTATAACATACCCATTTTAAAAAGTTTTTCATAGAAATACATGGGTGAATTAGATTATTTTTATATCATTTCTTCAACCGATATTTACTTAATCAGTTATACCACATACGTCCTGATTGCTTCTGGCAACTTACTTAACTTAATTAAATATTGTTCTCAAGAACTTGGATTGTATGTTTCTGGCAAGTGAAATCCTTCAGGAAATTTCATATATTTTGATTCAAAACTATAAAAAGGATCATACATACTGAAATTATTTTAATCTTCATAATATTTTATATACTAAAAGATTTTCTTATATATGCTCCTGGCATATTTTTGATCCTTTAAGGATTATTATGTAAATTTCACTATTAATGATCCTCATCCATGGGTCATAATAATATCTAACAGGCACATTTCATAACTGCCAGACTATTCAAATATTTTAAATTATATCCACTACAAAGTAATATGTCTCATCATAATTATTTGTGAAAATCTATATTTTCACATAAATGTACATATATTCTATAGAAGTTTTATATTTCATGTGTTGGGACTGCAAGCCTATTTTCACATATCGAAATAATAGTTTCATCACATCTTTTTCCTTTTCCTTTTCTTCTTGGCCAAATCTATATCTACTTTGTATGATAGATCTATGTGTAAGATCCTCTTTTTATCACATGATATTCTTATGAAAATTATTGTCAACAACTTTATCTTTTTGGTTCTATTTTTTCTTTTATGACATAACTTGTTGAGATCTCTTTCTTCGTTTTCAGGTACCTAAACCTCTTCTGAGGTTTTACAATTAGTTATCTCTTGACACTCTTCTAGAGTACATGCCTCCTCAATACAACTTCTAAGTTGTATGCTCCTTTTTATTCAAGATATTTATATTGGAACCGATTAACCTCTCATGCTTCTGGCATGTCTTAATATTTATAATAATTGGAGTATTTTCAGCTAGAATAAGAGATTTAAAAATTTTCATTCAGGTCAGTAAAATATTTTGTAGCATTTCATGAATGCAATTTTGCTGAACTTCTAGTCCATACTAATTGAACTTCTAGTCTATACTGATATATTTGAAGATTTATATTTGATAGTAATAATGCATTCAATGCTTTCTCTTTTCCAACTACTCAGTTTCTCCCCCTCATGTTAGGAAAATTTTGTCGAATAACAATCAACTAATTATGCAGTATAAGCCTCTTAAATCCATTTGTTTCATTTAGGAACATTGTTTTGTTCTATTTAGAGACAAACAAGAAGAAGGAGGTTCTTACCCCACATATGTCCCAACTTTCTTTTAATATTCATTTATGTGCATTGTGGTGGATTGGTAGGCATAAATATTGCACATTTCAATTTTTTAGATGAAAAATATCTGACTTCTGACTAAAAGCCAATTTTATTAGGAGAATTTTGTTGCTTTGATATCTATAAGTGCTGCAATATATTAAATCAAATATGCCAACACTAAAATGAAAAAAATTTGTTCTCATAAATATTGATAAAGCTATTCACAGAGGCATTAACAAATGATTTTGCTAGATCAATTTGTTAAGCAGGCTTTTCAACATTAAAAGCTTGATATATAAATTCACTAGCATCTTTAAAATCAAGTTTTGGGAGTCACATAGTCTGGAAATATTTATCTAAATAATCTTGCAAACTTCAGGTTGCAAATTAGTGTCAATCACACATCTTACCATTTTATATAGATGCGTCTATCAAATAGTGAATGCTTGTATCGCTTATGTGCTTCTAAATGGGCCTATATATATTTCCAAAAATATAGTGAACTATTCGAAAACAAAACATAACTAGTGATATTTTATAATTAATTTTTTATAGATTAATTAGCACATATGAATTCTTAAAAATGTTGGTTATTCGGAAGAATCTTCTGGTTCTTCAATGGATATCAATACATAATCTTTAATAATTTGTTGATCATATAGTTTAAGATGATCAAACAAGTCATACCAATAATAAATCTAAATATATCAGTAAACTTCTGGTTTACTGTACCATGTTTCATTACCAACAATAAATTTTTTTTCAATATAATATATGATTGATGATATCCATTTATGAAATTGATATGAAAAATATATCTAATATCAACTCATAGTTATATTCTAATAGTCTTCCCCTTAAAATCGAGTCATTTAAACATGATTTCTTTATTCATATATTTCATAAACAGTTGCTAGCATATAATAGGTTAAAGCCAATAACCTATCTTTTACTTGGAAGTCCAAGTACTTCCTAATTCATCTATAGTTACAGACTTTATTTTAATTATGCTATAACATTTACACTTTTTGGAAAACTAAAGTTGTGATGTGGATCTATGGGTTATATTTTCCACCATCAATACTTCGTCTGCTCATAAAGAAAAATCAGTATCAGTTCTTCCAGAACTATATTAATACTATTACATCTAGTTCTTCAAGAACTATATAATTTAGGAGGAATATGAAAGACAACTCTATTTCAATATATCATTAATATAATAACAAATAATTATGAATATCACAGATTTAACTTGCAATACACGTAGAGAACACACAAAAATATGAAGAACATTTAAAATGAACTTTTAAAAAAATAAAGTACAAATAAGACTTAATATTCAAAACTTCTCAATATTAATCAAGGTACTATAGACATTTAAAATATTCAAAACTAATATTGAATCAGATCATATAAATAAGATATAAATAAACAAAATATAACTAATAACTTTTGGGTCTATTTGATCTATTTAGTTTTATATCACACACTTATGAATATCATAATATCAAATTCTTATAACAAATTTTTTTTTTTACAAATCACAATAAATTTAAAGACTGATAAAAATTAAACATTATACATATAGCCTTCTAGGCATATACTTATATGTTTTATATTTTTATATACACTTTGGATATCTATCTTTCTTCACAACTTATCACCTTCAGGCATTATAATTACCTTTGATATTTTCATAATATTACATGGTCTTTTTGATTCCACAACCATTTTTTTAACATGCTTTTCAATGAATTGATACATATTTGTCTATATGACTTCTGGTCATATTATAACATTTGTTCATAATTTTATCATATTGATCATAAGGCTATTACTAATTCTTCTGTTATGATTCAATAGTCAAGCCCTAAGATTATTGCCCTTTTAGTTATCAGTTCCACTGATACAATGTGATCATACTCTTTATCACTCTTATGGATATATTCCTTGCTTTCAATAGCATACCATCATTTTTCTCAAATATTAGTTTTCAGGACTATAACAAAATTTTCAAAACTACGAAATTCTTTTGTATTGTTTAATTTTTTAAACCATCACTCTTTAGAACTTTGATATAGATTATCAAATTATGACAATCTTGTTATGCCATCTGTTACAACTACATGATGGTCTTTTATCAAATAATCATCAAAATGTGATGTGGCTTCTGGCCATCTAATTACAAAATCAAGAGTACAATGGCTATTAGCTATTCATTTATATATTTAACATTTTACTTTCTAAGACAATAATTTACTAATATCGAGGATGATAATCATATAGAATAATATTATAGATGAACATAAACTTCATAGCAAATCAAGAAGTATAAGAATAGTAGGATCATAACAATATAAGAAAAGTAAGAAATAAAAATAAAAATTTTCATATCTCAATACGATAAATAAAATATTCAGCTACCAATGAATCAATAAGATTAATATACAAAACCACCATTTCCTCTAAATAAATTAGAGAAATCTTACCAAACTATTTGGATCAAACTATCTTCATTCAACAAACAAAACTTCAACTTGTATCAACTAGGAGCCATGAATTCTGATGGTAGAGTCTCGTGCTGATAACGTGTTATGAAATTAACTAATAATGAAATTAGATTGGAGAAGAGAAGTAAACAAGAAAATGAGATAATGATATTGTATTCCTTCACTTGCTTCACTTGCCTCACAATACAATGGCATGCCTTATTTATAGGCATAGTCTTACACATAAGTTACATTGGAACTTAAATGATAGATAGTGGACAATAAACCACATGAATATAAGTAGGGAGAGTTATAAGATTAAAGGCTTAATGGAAAGGTAATGGAATAGTAGAAGATTAATGCCTAGTAGAAGTAGTGGGAGTTTGATGATGAAGTTGAGAGGAAGAGGAAGAAGGGGAAATGGACATCAATATGTTATAATATTCATAACATACTTCTATTTATAAAAGATGCAGAATAAAAGAAAATAAAGTTTTAGAAGATATGAAGGGACAGGATATCAATTATAATTTTTTCAAAAGTCAAATCTGGAGACGTGACAGAAGCTGGAGAAATTAGCTGTAATTTTTGCCAAAATAAAAATAAAGAGTTGAACTCGTTCATGGCCTGTAGGAGTTCTACTTTTTCATTTTAGAAAACAGATTGTCAGAGTAGAAATTCATCGTAAGGCGAACGGGTTTCAAAGAAGGGTAGTATGTGAGTGCATAATTCACATGGTGTAACATTTGAATAATTATTTTTTACTCTTCACAGCATTTGGATAAAACTAAAAATTTTTCCCTATAAATCGCATGAACTAGTGTATTTGATTAGATTTATAATTAGACAATAGTTACATTTAATTTAATATATTTAAATCCTAATTAAGATATTATTCAAATCTAAAATTAATTATTAATTTTTTTATTTGAGGCTCCAATTGAAATCTCATTTAATTATAATACTCCCCATTTAATTCAATATAATTAAATATCAATCAAGATATTATTCAAATTTTATTTATTGAAAATGTTCAAATTGTACATTGTCTTACTCAACCTATTTTTAACGAATAGGATATTAGTTGATAGTTGATAGTTGATTATTAATTAGTTGATTTAAATTTTAATCAAGATATTATTCAAATCTTATTAATTGAATGTGTTCAAATTACACATTATCATACCTGATCTATTTTTAAACGAATTGGGTATTATAAAATTTTAAGAACATAGTTGATGATAGTTATTGATTGATGTATTCAAACTGCATATTGTCATGCTCGACTCATTTTTAACGAATCAGGTATTACAAGATTTTAAGAATATAATTGATTGATTGATAGTTGATAATTGATTGATTAATTTAAATCTCAATTAAAATATTATTCAAATCTTATTAATTGAATATATTCAAATTGTAAAGGTTATAGTTGACCCATTCGTATATTATAAGATTCCAAGAATATAGTTGATAATGATAGTTGATTAAACGGATTGGGTATTATAAGATTTAAAAAATATAGTTGATATAGTTGATTGATTAGTTGATAATTGATTGATTGCCTTCTTCGTCTCGCAGGCACACTACTGAGAATTTTATTTTATTTTATTTTATTTTCCCTTTCCTCCATTTTGTATGCCTAGTGTAGTGGGTTCTCATAATCCCCTTTGAAATTGAGGCAATGTTGCTCGAATCAAAGCGAAACTACTAGCGAGGATGACGGAAATAGGCAAAGATGATAAACCCAAATCATCCACCAAATCGAAAACAGCCAAAGCCATGGCTAGGCTTATCAATAGCAAACCTTTGTCAAATGAACTGGCATCCTCTTTATCTTCACTTTCTCCCGCTCTGTCGAAAACCACGGTGCTTCAAACTCTTCGCCTCCTCACAAATTCATCCAAAGCCTTTCAATTCTTCAAGTGGGTACACGATATGGGTTTCCCTCACAATGACCAATCATACTTCTTAATGCTTGTAATTTTGGGCTGTGGCAAAAACTTTAATGTAGCTCGGAATTTTTTGTTTTCACTTGAGCTAAGATCCAATGGTTCTGTAAAGCTTAATGATCGATTATTTAATAGCTCAATTAGGAGTTATGGTCAAGCTGGGTTGTTTGAAGAGTCAATGCAGCTTTTTCAGACTATGAAGACGATGGCCGTTTCACCCTCTGTGATCACATTCAACAGTCTTTTGTCTATAGGTCGGACAAATATTACAAACGATATTTATGATGAAATGCTCAGAACGTATGGAGTAGCACCGGACACATGCACATATAATATTTTGATCAGAGGGTTTTGTAAGAATTCCATGGTTGATGGAGGGTTTCGATTTTTCAATGAAATGTCACGTTTCAATTGTGATGCTGATATTATTACATATAATACACTTCTTGATGGCTTGTGTAAAGCAGGAAAGGTCAAAATAGCACATGATTTAGCGAAGGGTATGAGTAAGAAAAGTAAGAATTTGAATCCTAATGTTGTGACTTGTACAACTTTAATCGGAGGGCATTGTATGCAACAAAAATTAGATGAGGCCTTGTCAAGCGCTCAAGCTAAATAAAATTACTTACAATACTCTAATAAAAGGACTTTGTGAAGCCCAGAACCTAGATAAGATAAAAGATATTTTGGAACAAACCATGGGGGATAGGGAATTCAGTCCAGACACATGTACCTTCAACACATTAATTCATGCACATTGCAGTGCAGGAAACTTAGACGAGGCAGTAAAGGTGTTTTAAGAGGATGAAAAACTTGCAGGTCGGTGCAGACTCAACCACATACAGTTTTCTGTTGCTTAGCCTGTGTCAAAGAGAGGACTACGTTATGGCAGAAAAGCTATCTGATGAGTTGTATGAGAAGGAAATTTTGTTGAGTAATTTTGGCTCTAAGCCTCTTGCTGCTGCTGATAACCCTATGTTTCAGTATCTTTGTAAACATGGGAAGACTAAGAAGGCATAGAGGGTGTTTAGACAGCTAATGAAAAGGGGAACACAAGAGCCCCCCTCCTGCAAGACAATGATTATGGGGCACTGTAAGGAAGGATGTTATGAAGACGCATATGAGCTTTTGAAGTGGATATTGAGACAAAATTTTCTTCCAGATGTTGAGATATATGATTCTTTGATTGATGGTTTTCTTCAGAAGGAGAAACCTCTTCTTGCAAAAGAGGCATTGGAGAAAATGATAAGGAGTTCCTATCTTCCCAAAACATTGACTTGGCACTCTATACTGGCAAAGCTTTTGGAAAAAGGTTGTATCCACGAATCTGCCAGTTTTATGGTCATGATGCTAGATAAAAATATTAGACAAAATATAAAATTTTCAGCCATGAGCTTACAGCTACTTTTTGGCCGTGGACTAAAGGACAGAGCATTCGAGGTTTTAGAGTTGCTTTATAAGCATGGATAGTGTGTTAAAATAGATGAACTAGTTCAATTTCTTATACACAGAGGGAAGCTATCAGAGGCACGCAAAGTGTTGGCATTTTGTATTGAAAATCATCAAAATGTTGATCTTGATTTGTACAATGCTGTTATTTTGGGTGTTTGTAAAAGGAGCAAGGTTTCAGAATCTTTTGGTTCATGCTATTTATTGGTGGGGAAAGGCTTACATCTGGAATTGACATGTCTAGATGAACTAGTATCTGCTCTAGGGGCTGAAGGAAGATCAGATAAAGCTGCATTTATCTCTAAGAGGATGCAAAGGCAAGAATTTTAGGCGGATCTGCACAAAAATAGGAGCTCATTCTCACTGCTTCACAAATATGATGCAATAGCAGCAGCCCATTAATCGTTCTGTGCTTCAGACTTTTTCAAGATGAAAATTCATCGCCGCCTGAATGGGGCATGATATGTATCAGTAAGTTACCCTTCATTTATCATTTGGATTGAAAATTGTCATAAGAGTGACTGGTTTCCTATTCATGCTATTCCAATGTTGTTAAAAGTAGTAGGGTACGAGGCTGCTGATCATGATCCTTTTGTTTGTTTTGGGAGAGAGGCTAGATCTCTTGATTGTATTTCCCAAAGCATTGCATGTAAGCACTGCAAGTAAAGGCTCTTCAGTCCCAACAGAGGACGACTTATAATGCCTTTTGAAGTTAATATGCATTGGTCCCTTCTCACTCTTCAATGACCATTATCTGTTGTAATCTATCTGTTCACAGTGCAGGTGACCCTGAATCCTCGTTGGATGCTTAGATCAAGCAGCATTGACAAGCCTGAATGATGTACCACGAAACCTTCCTGTTTTTACCATGATCATCATTCAGAAGATGTATAATATAAAAGTTTTTTGAATTAAAAAAACCCTGGCTTTGCATTTCTAATTTCCCTCTTTTATTTCATTAGTATAATGCCTTGCATTGAAGTTTAAGTCAGTTTATACTTGCAAAAGATTGATTTGAAGCGTGTCTGATGTGACTCTGGTTCCATACCGAATCAATATTGAACAATGTGCTCGCTCTACTGGCGAGGGCCTGGAAAAACTTTCAAGAAGTCTTACGTCTGAAACTTTGTATCATCATTGCTCAAGAAAGACTAGCTTGCTTACTTTGTCCGTGTGCAAAGAAGGCCACTTGAAGTGCAGGTGAAAAAAGTTGAGTTGATGGTCTTTAACTCTGAAAGGATGTAAAAGGAAACCAAGAAGAGCACTTAAAGAAATTATAGAATGAGATGTTATGATGAATGAGATATTAAAGTTTAGCAGTGTTGTGCTATCCATCTAGTTGACTTAAAGAGATAAAGCTGCTTGTTGTCCTTGCTAAATGTTATTGAATTATTTGAAAGTAGTTAAAAGAATGAAGGTATTCGAACTTCAGAGGTAGAAATGAGTAAGCTGAACATTTTTGTTTTGTTTTTGCCAGTTGAGCTTGAAAGGTCATTTAGGCCTAGTTAATGTTTTTATTCCAATGACGTTAACCAGAATGGCTTAAATTAATTCACAGAATAAATCAGTCTCGCCTGCATCAATCAGAGAACTATCCGCAAAACATATTCTTTGGATTATAAAGCTAGCTTTTTAGTTTTATATATTACAGAATGAGGGAAAAGAAACAGGAAGAAACGAATGGGACTAGGATCATTCGTAAGAATAAGGGGTTAAGTAATACTCTTCTGATTCTTAATATAAAACCTGTTTAGTTAATTTGATTATATTAAAAAAGTTAAGTAATTTAGATAAGTATAAGAAATATTTAAAGCATTATAATCATCTTTATTAATAGGGAACATGACAAGTAAAGAAGACTGAAATTAGGATATCCCAATTTGGAAAGTTAAGGGCTGGAAATGATGGAGAAGGAAGTTATTTCCAAATTAAAATTTTAAAATTCAGTAAAAATAACAAAAATACCCTTTGTCTTCTTTTTTTTCCTTCTTTTTTTAAAGGCTCAATCCCTTGCTGGCACCATCCACCGGTGTTGTAACATCCTTTTTTTTTTTTTTCAAATTTAGAGATTAAGTCTAATTTAAAATATAAGAACGATATACATTATAGTTTCTAAGTTTTATATGTTGTAAAATTAATTTTTACCCCTTAGTATGTAAAAAAATAAATATCAAATAAAATATTATTGAAGCAAATACTTATATATATAGACTTGGACGTTATTTTATGAAAAATAAGTAAATATTATATTAGGGTAATAATTAGAAGATTGTTAAGATTTTCAAAAGAATTAGATAAATTTAGTAGATACTATCTGCACAAATGGAGAATTTTAAAATCAATACACTCAAAATTTTATAAATATATATATAACAAATAAATATAATTGTCTCTGTTTATACACACACATCCATTTTCAATTAACCTAATGAAGAGAACCTAAAGATAGATCTACCGTGCTATAACTCTTTCCTCCCCTTGCAACTGCCTCCTCCTCCTCTTTCTTTTGCTTTCCTTCATATTCTTTTTTCTTTGATCAATTCAAGGTTTTTTTCCTTTCGATCATAGAAGTGTGCGTATCTACCAAATACATTATTTTTCCTTTCTCAATTATGTATATATCGTTCATATCTTCTTCTTTCTTTGTCAGCATTTTGGTTGCCTTTCAACAATAAATATACACATATACCAACCCTCTTCCATCTTATTTCACACCATCATTCCTTCTCTCTTTCCATCCGTTCTTTTTCCTCATGTTTTTCTTCTTTCCTTTGGTCTTGAAACAATCAGAAACCCACAAGAATGTCATTCACTCATTAATATGCATACTTTTCTCATGCTCCGATGTCGATCTTCCTGAGGTAATTTATATATTCAATTGATATTCTTTTAATAGGAAACAATTTAATTTGAAATAGCTAATATAGATATTTACACACACACGTGGGTGCGTGTAATGTTGACGTTATAATGAAATTTTAATCTTTCAAAATAATTTTGAAGTTTCAAAGTAACTTTAGAATTGTTTGAAAAAAAACGGGTAGTAATATTCATAGAATTTTAATTACAAAAAATTAATGATTTTTATCTTGGGTCCTCTAGAGTAGCAGTGAAACAATAGAATAATTGAGTTACTTTAGAATAGCCTTAAGATGATTCTAGTCAGTGTTGAGTTATAAATTAATTTTTTTTTTTTGTATATGTGTTATTCTTGTAGACTCTTATTGAGAGATTTTATTGTGAAATTGCTATTTGACTGCTTGGGAACTTGAGAAGACCAAGTAATTTAGGTTTTTCCATGTGTGTGCAAGGCTTGTGTGTGTGTCATGATCAAATGTATATTGATTTATATATATATATATATAACTCTATTTGCTTAAATGCAGGTAAATTGTTGAGACTATAAAAAGATAAAGGGATACGATTGTATCACTATATGTGTTATTTGGATTCTCTTGTTAAGCATGTTTATGTTAGGATTGTAGTTGTTAAAATTTATGGTAATTTATTTCTTTCAAGCATGCTTGCATGTACTGGAATTGTTGCTTATGCATGACATGCATTAGTGGTTGAGTTGAGGAGTTTATGATATTTATCGATATGATATATAGTAACCATATGGTCTGCCTCCACTATGCGCACAATGGTTGGCCTTTTTAGGGGCTTGTTCCTTAATACTTACTTGGCCAGGTTTGTAGAGGGGAATGTGGGACAGTGACACCTCATGGTTTAGTTCTTGAAGGAGGGGGACCATAGTCTGGGTTTGGGCTCTGTACTTTTGGCCGGGTACATCTTGAATACTAGAGTAGCTTTGGTTGGTTCAGTGTGTGGGCCGGCCTACAAATAAGCTTATGGCTCCAGTTAGCAGAATAAGGTTAGATGGAGCAATAAGGGAGGGAGCATCTATTGCATGTTAGACATGATATGCATATGCTCATTATGAACTTTAGTGATATTATTTGTTATTGATTATTTAAATTATTTTTGTAATTGTACATAAGTGAGTTAATGATTACTTGTGTCTGATGGTTTGTATGTACATGGTTAAACTCAGGGTTACTGAGACGTTAGTGTTTATCCCATTTATTTAATATTTTTCGGGTGAACAGTCTCATAAGGATCAAGAGAACGTACTAAATGGTGAGCCTTAAAAGCTCTAATGTACTCATT